AAGAAATGCAAAACATAAATATTAAAAATATTTCTAAAAACTAAAACAAATGTAAGTGAATTAAATTTTGTAAACATTGAAATAGCCGAAAAATTAATTCCTTAATAAAGCAAATACTATTAATAATTTTTTACTGAATTAGCAGAGATGTACTAAAATAATAACTAAATTTAAGACCAAAGTTTAAAAATTTCAAATAATTTAATATTAACATAATGTCTTAAAAATGTTTGTAATTAGAATTCTTTTATTTTATGTATAAATTCTATTATAAGTCATTCTAAAGAATATTTATCTAATTTAGCATCTTTGAAATTATAAAATAATATGAAAAGAACTTTTCATGATATATTTAATATTCATAAATAAAGAAATTCTTATTTAAATAGTTTAAATAATTTAACTTTTAATTTTAATCCTTCATAATGTCATTAATAATCAAGTTTATAATAAATATTAATGAAATCAAATGATTAATAAATATATTAAAATAATTTTAGTTAATAATAAAGCTTTAAAAGTAATTAAGAAGTAGAAAAGCTTAATTTAAAATTAAGAAATGTGGATTAGTCTATTACTTACCCTCCTTAATAGAATTCGATTTTTTTTAATGGGTGGTTAAGGAAAAAAAATATTAATGTGAAACAAATTTCGGAAGAAATAAAAAATAATACGAACATTGATGAATTAAATAAATTAATTTTAATTGCTAAAGTTGATGATATTAAATATAAACTAAGTAATCTTAGTGAAAGTAAAATATTTTTTTTTGTATAAAAAAAAAAAATAATATAAAAAAAAGTTATTAATTTTAGTGCTAGAAGTCTTCCTAATATAGAAAGTATATATAATAAAAAAAAAACTGTAAGCATAAATTCTACTAAACTAAATAAAAGTGATGGAATAGAGTATTTCCAAACACCTTAACTTAGTCTCTAAAACTCAAAAAAGAAATAAGTAATAAGTAAAAAAGTTATTCCAATTCATTAGAATTTAAAAAAATCTTAAAATAGTTCAGTAAGAAAAATTATTTAAAAAAAAAAAAAAAACATTCTTAATAGTTAAAAAGTGTAATTTAATGTGCAATTAAAAGTGCTTCTAGTATTAAAACCCCAAGAACACCAAGTAAAAGTATGAGTTTAATACTTCCAATATCATAAAATTAATCATATAGAAGTAATGGACAGAAAAAATAAACGAAAAGTCGAATTGCAGTTAAAAATAATAAAAATTAGAAAGGTTCAAAAAAAAATTCTGCGACTAAATCTAAGTAAATGAGTAATAGGAAAGAAAATTTAAGCATCAAATCTAGTGGTTATATCCCAAATCATACTAAATATTAAGATTATTAGTAAAATTAATAAATAAAATAAAAATCAGTTAAGTTTTTGATTTCAGATAATTCACATAATAATTTAGTCTAAAATACAGATAAAAGAAATGATTCTTTATCTTAATAATCTATACTTTCAAAAAAATCAGTTATTTCTTAGTCTTCTCATTCTAGTAAGAAATAATAATAAATTATAAATAATAGATAAAAATCACTTTCTACAAGTAACCAGCAATATGGTAATAATAGTGTGTCTTATTCTAATAAATTAAATAATAGTTCTTTTAGTGATTAAAAGAAAAAAATTAATAATTAAAAATAATACGTAACTAAGAAAAAAAGTAAATCGAAAAATTCCAAAAGTAATAACAGTTTTAGTAGTGGAAATAAATCTTTAAACAATAGTAAGTAATTAAAAAAAAGCATACAAAAACAACTAAAGGTTGCAAGAGAATTTTTAAGAAGTTCATCTTCAGATGAATCTGATTATTAAAATAATAATAATTAAGTTTTTTAAAAAATAAATTTAAGATAATCACATAAATTTTAAAATAAAGTGAAACAATTTAATTTAAGTTTTGAAAAAGAATAAATATTTTTGTTGTCTTAATAGGATAAAATTAATTCAGTAGAATTATTTAAAAATTATCATAAGTTATTGTTAAGATCAAATGACATTTCTAAACTTTTGGAATAATAAGTTAGTATTAATGAAGAATTATAGTAAGAAGTTTTAAATTAGGATTAAAAGTTTAATTAGTTAAAGTCTAAATATTTGTTGAAAAAAAAAGAAAAAAATAAACTTAAAATTGAGTTGGGGAATAAATATAGAGAAATGGAAAAATTCGAACAAAATTAATTCGAAAACGCTACCAAGATTATAAATTTAAATAAAAAAATCTAAAATCATTAAATTGAAATTGACAAATAAAATAAACTCTTAAAAAATAAGGAACAATAATAAGAATTACTTAATTAAAATCATAATTTTAAAATGAATGAAATAATAGAAAATAATGAAAATCTTAAATTTTAAATTAATAATTTAAAAGATTAAATTAATAAAAATGAGATTAAAGAAAATTAATTAATTTAAGAAATACATTTTAATTAAATTTAATATGAAAATGAATTAAAGTATTTTATTTATTTATTTATTTATTTATTTTTTTAAAAAAAGAAATAAAACAGAAATATTTGAAAAATAATTAAGTTAAAGTTAAGCTGCTTTAAAATAATTTTAAGTTTAAAAAATTATGGAAATATAGGCTAATGATAAAACTAAATTACAAATATAAAGCTAATTAGAAAACTTTTAACTTTAAAACAATAATTTATAGAAAAAAATAGAAAGTTATTCTAAGCTTTCTAAATAAAATGAATAAATTACAAATTAATTAAGAAATGAAAGAGATACTCTTTAAGATAAGATAGATGAATTAGAAGCTTAAAATTAATAATTAAAAATGGAAATTAATATATATTAACATAAATAATAAATACAAGAGAAAAAATTAAATGAAAAAGTAAATAAAAATATTACTTAAAAAAATATATATAATTAATATAAAGTTTGAAAATTTTGATAATTTTTAAAAAATTATTAAATTAATAAAAGTGAAAGAATATAAGAAATTATAAGCTAAAAGTATAAAGAAAATAAAATTTAAAATGAAGATCTATAAGTTTAGGTATAAAAAGTAGAAACAAGACAAAAATAATAATAAACATCTTAATCAACCCATAGATTAGATAAAGCAAATTAATAAGAAATAATTAACTCTAAAAATGTTATTCCGTTATCGGAGAATTTTTATAATTCATTAATAAATTTAGAAAATATTTAATAGAATTTGATTTTACATTAAAAAAGAAATTCAAATTTAAATATTTAAAAAAATGTTAATACTGAAAAAAATTTGGTATTTTTAATTTTTTTTTTTTTTTTTTAATTTATTTATATACAATTAGCCTAAAGAAAAAACTATTAATATCTGTAAAACTAAAAAATAAAAATAAAATTTAGACATAAAAAAAAACTCTTGTAAAAGTAATTTGGATTAATAATTTATTTTAACTACTAGAAATGGTAATATATAACTTCATAAAAAAGGAAGTAATACTATTTATTCATCGAAAACTTTAATTTTTGTATATATATATTTATATTTATATTTTTTATTAAATTTAAAAGAATAAACAAAAGTGAATATGAATTAAAATGATAAATACTAATATAAAAAATCAGTTCATTATTAGTTATATATAATTCATTTTATCAAATAAATTAAAAATAATATATATATATATATATACTATATATATATATATGTATATATATATATATATATATATATATTTTTTTTTTTTGTTATATTATTTTTTATTATAGAAATAACATTTATATTGTAAATTATTTATATATATAAAAAAATTTTATATTCATTTTAATTTAAACAAAAAAATGAATAATTAATGCGATTTTAACATAAATAATATATAAAATTAGAATAACGATACATATGTATTTAGCTAAATAGAAAATTAGTAAACGCTTTTTGATGAAAATTAATAAAAAGAATATTATTAATCTACTAATTGTATTTTAGAAGAACAATAGAATCATGAAATTATAATAATTTAAGAATAAAAGCATTAGAGAAATTTCGGAAATAATCATGTCTTTTTATTTTAATAAAATGAACCTAAATATACAATTGGTCCTTAATGTAAATACAAGATTTTTAATTTGTTTTAATATTAATATTTTCTTTTATTATTATTTTACAAAAAAATAAAAAATAAGGGTCTTAATTTTTATTTACTTTTATTGGATTAATTATTTTTGATTTATTCTTAATTTAAAATTCTTTTAGAAGATACTCTTTTAGTTATAAATTAATATTAATATTTAATTAATAAGTTATATGTTAACAGCAATAATAAATCCAGGAATAGCATCTTAAGAATATTAAATAGATGATGAAGATTAAAAAAGCAAATAGTATAATTTTTTTTTTAAATTATAAATATAAAAATTAAGTTAAAAAAATTAAGTTATTGTAAAAAGTGTTAAATTAAATAAAATTAAAATATAAGGCATTGTAATAATTGTAATGTTTGTATTAAAGGATATAATCATCATTGCCCATGGGTTGGAAAATGTATAGGTTAAGGAAACATTTAGTAATTTTATTTATTATTATTTTCAACTTTTTGTTAAATAATTTATGTTTTTAAACTTTAATTTTGAAATATAATTATAAATATTAATATAAATAAATAAAAATGAGTATATTTATGTATAAATGTATAAATAAAAAAAAAATTGATTAATATATATAAGTAATTATATTTATATGTAAAATAAATTATATATATATATATATAAATATTTAAATAAATATATAAACATTTATTTAAATTTATATATTTTATTAATTTTTTTTTATATATTTTTTTAAAATAAAATATTATTTATTTTTATAAAATTAGTATTTTTATATATCTTTATTTATTTTTTATTTATTATATATTTTTTTTTTATTTATAAAAATAAATTTATAAATTATATATATATAATATTTAAAATAAACTTTTAATTTTTAATTTTTATTTTTTGTTTTTTTTATAATTTAAAATTTAGATAATAATGGATTCTTTTTTTAATTCAACATTATAAATGAAAAAAATAATAAAAAAAAATAAAAAAATACTATAATTGTAAATATATATATTATCTTCTTCTTCTTTAATATTAATAAAGAAATATCATATTACTTATTTTATTCAATTTCCAAGTAAACGATATTCAGGAACTTCTCTTTTGTTATAAGAATCATCAAAATTTCCTTCAGAAACAGCATCAACTCTATCTTTAAAGTCATCTTCATTACTTTAGACTTTTTAATTATAGATAGCTAAGACTTCTTCAAGTAATTAAATTTCTTCTAATAATGCTGCTCTTTTGCTGTTGTATTCTGATATTTTTTTCTTTAAATATTCTTCAGAATCACTAATTAATTTTTCTTATTAGGATATTTATTCTCTGCATTTTTTTGAATTTTAAGTGTATTATTCAACTAATCTTACTAATTTTGCTTCTTAAGTAATAGCAGCTTCAAGTGATTTAGCAAGTTCCTTGTTTTCTTTTTCGACTTAGGCTTAAAATTCGGCTAAATGCATGGCAGAATTAATTTCGTCTTATTAAGCTTAACTTTTATTTTCTTTAATTTTAGCTTCGAACTTGTCCAATAAATCTAATAATTATCTCTTGTATCCGGCCCATGTTTATCTTTCTCCATTAACAAACCCTTCTAAACTAAGATCATCTTTATTATTATCAATATGTTTGTTGCCAATTTGCTCAGCTTTTTAATTTTAAATAATTAAATATTTAGCAAATATGATTATACATATATATTATAAATATATATTTTATATGTAATTTTACCATTTCTTCCTTTTTCAGTATAATCTTATTTAATATCATATAATGGATCATTAACATATTATTATAATAATTATAATCCATTAGTATCGTGTTATTCATATAATTAGAAAAGTACATTGATTTTTTACATCAAGAGCTTTTTTTCTATAAGCGAAAAGTTATCTTTATTTTATATTTAAATTCTTAAAAATTCGATTAATCTTAAAGCTAGGTTGTAATTTTTCATATCTTTTATGAAACTTGCATTTTATTAACATCTTGCTTAGTTAAGAGAATCTAATCTATTTAAGTTATCAACCATTCTCTATTTAAGGTATTCAATATAATCTCTAGTAGTTTATAATTTATCTTCATAGTCCTTTAATTATGCTTCTTCACTTTTACAATGAACAATACTTTAAGCTAGGACATCATTTTAGTTTTATATGTCCTTTTCTAATAAGGGTTTGTTTGTTTCCTTGTCTTTATCTAAATCATTCAAGTTTGAATGTACGTCATTAAGTAATTCTTAAAGTAACTCGGTTGCTCTATTAACATTGTCTTTGGTTTCGAAAGCTTATTCAGAACTTCTGTCAGCTCTTACAATAAATATGCATAAAACTAAAAATAAGCAAAGTAATTATTTATTCATGTTTTTTTTTTTTTCGATTATATTCCTTTTTTTTTATAATAATTTTTTTTTTTTTTGTTATTTTTTATTTATTATTTTTTTTTCTTTTTTTATTACTTTTTGACTTATTTATTTTTCTTTGTTTTAGTTACTTTATATTATGTTTATAAAAAAAAAATATTAATTATTTTATATATGTTTTTCTTTATATTTTACTTTTTTTTTATTTTGTTTAAATTTTATTTTTTTCTTAATATTAAAAAACATTATTTCCGTTTTAGATTATTTTTTTCCTTTGTTTTTTAAGCGTTTTTGTAAAAGTATATATTTAATCAAAAACGAATATTTTTAATTTATCTTCTTTTATAATATACAAATAAATAAATTATTATCAACAATACATAATCTAAGAATAAAGCATAAATATAATTTTTTATATAATTAAATATAAATATAATAATAAATTTTCTGTTTTGAGTTTTTTATTTTAATTTTTTTTAAAATAAAACATATTTAAATAAAATTTTCTGCATTTATTGTTATAAAAACTAAATAGAATTTAGATGATTATTAGATTTAAAATTAATATTTTTATTAATTTAAAAAAATAAATAATAAAATTAATAAATTTTAAAAAATAAAATCATAAATAATATATTTAACAAAGAATTTTTATAATTAGAGTATTTTTTATATATTAAGATTTCAAAAAAAAAAAAAATTAAAATTCTATGAAATGAAAAAACATAACAATTTTCATGAAATTCATTTGAAGTAGATTTATTAATTACAATTTAAAATGAATTTATTCTTTAAATTAGTATAGTATTAGACAATATAATAAATAAATTAAATATGCTAATTTTGTAATATAAAAAAATAGATAATTAGGTTATTATTAAACTGAAATATTTAACTATATACATTTCGATATTATTAATTTAAATAAAACAAAATAAAATAATATATTAATTGTAAAAAAAAAAATACTCTACAAATTGAATAAAAAAATCCATCAAAATTTTTCGAACTTAAAAATTAAAAAGATTTATTAAAATAAAAATAATTATATAATTTTGAATATAGATAAAATTATATTTAAATAAAATTTTATTATTTTTCTTATTTTAATTTTATCATCCATCTTCTTCTGTGAATTCTTAATCAATCTATAAAAATAAAATAACAACAATATTATTTTATATATAATTTAAAAAATTACAATATTTTTGTTAGAATTATTAAATATATGCTACATAACAGATTTTTAATTTGAGATATTAAAAAGATATTATTTTTTAAAATCTGGATAATGATAAAGTAATATTTCTTCATAAACCAAATCTATTTTTATTTTATTTTTATTAACAAAAAATTAAAATAAAAAAAACCTTTATATTATTGTCTTGTTAAATTAGGATATGATTCAAACTCAAATTCTAAGAAAGGTACCTATTATCTTGATGGTTCGTCATCAGGTAAATGTAAATCAGCTAAATAAGGATGTTATAGAGCTTATTCGACAGTAATTCTTTATTAAAAGTCAAAAGTAAGCATTCTATCAATTAAATCAAGAGCATCTTTTGGAGCTCTAGGGAACAATCTATCTAATGGTTTTTTTGGTCTTTTTGGCAATTCTTTGATAAATTTTCTATATTCATCATATGGAATCATTGCAATTTCCTAAGGTGAAGGAGTACCTATTAAATCGAAAATTCTCATTAATTAATCTGAAGAGCTTGATCCAGGAAGTAGAGGTTTTCTTTTTATTAACTCAGCCAAAATAATACCAACAGACCATACATCCACTTTTTATTTAATATATTTTTATTAAAAAGTTTTTATTACTTGCTGCTGTATAGTCAGTCCATGAAAGTAATAATTCAGGGGGTCTATACCAACGGGTAGTTACATAATCTGTTAAATCATTTGCTTTGGATTCAGGTATTGCCCTTGCTAAACCAAAATCACATATTTTTAAATCACAATTTGAGTTTACTAATAAATTTCTTGGTTTCTATTTTATTTTAAATGAATTTTTATTTTTTTATTTTTTTTACTAAATCTCTGTGTATAACTCCTCCTGAATGAACATATTTTAAACCTCTTAAAATTTGATAAATGAAAAATTTGATATGATCAGCTGTTAATACTTATTCAGATTTTATTATTTATTGTAAATCTGTTTCCATTAATTCAGATACACAATATCTTTTAATTATATTTTTTTTATATATAGTAAAATAAAAATATTTACATATCATTAAATTCTTCTCTTGATTTAGGTAATAAAATACTATCTAAGCCTATTACCTATATAATTTAAAATAAATATATATTTTTATTTTTTTACATTTTCATGATTTAGTAATCTCAGTAATTTAAGTTCACGTAATGTTCTTTTAGTATATATTCTTTCTTCAAAAGCCTTTTCAATTTTTTTTATTGCTACACTTTTCTTTTTGTTTTCTGCTTAATCTACAGCTGCAACGACAACTCCATAAGCTCCTTATCCAACTTTATTCATAATATAAATATAACAAAAAAAAATTAGGTTGAATACTTATTTATATTACTTTTTTCTAATATTTTATATCTTTCATCTATGTTAAAATTAGTTCCATGAATTTAAGATTACTTTAAAGTCTTTTTAGCCCTGTATTTACTATAATATTCTACAACATCTCTCGCTATGGAATTTTGTATATTGGTGTTATTATTCATTTTTGTTGTTTTTTTTTAAAAAATTATTTATATTATATGTGTTTCTTATTTATTTATTTTTATGATGAAATGATATTTATAATTTAAAAGCATATAAAAATATATATATATAAAAATAATATAAATAAAAATTATCTATATGTAGATTATATAAAGATTAAAAAATCTAAATTTTAAAATTATATATTAAATAATTCAATCCTTTTATAATTAATTAATATTTTTCATATAAATATAATAAATCTATCTTTTTATAAATACTATTAATTTTATTTTTTTGATATAATTAATAAATAATTAAAATTTATTTTTTTAATTAAAGTATACCTAATTAGAAATAATTTTATTTTATTTATGTTTTTCTAAAAAAAAAAAAAAAAAAAAAAAAAAGTTAAACAATTGAAAAATAAACTATTATAATTAATTAATGTTGATAAAATTTTCAGACTTACTTTATTAAGGATTTAAATGATTGAAATATATTATTAAATATATAATAATAAAAAATAGCTTAAGAATAATATAATGAAAATTACTTAACAAGTTTTATTTGATTTTTAGTATGATTTTTTCATTTTCATGTAATTAATTTCTTTTATTAATTTTTGAAATATTACAATTCAGATAAAAGTAAATTAGATTTAAATATTGAAATATTATATTAATTATTTAAATTTAATGTATTAGATTCAATTTATGTTAATTAAAAAGATTGTGGAATATTGTTGTTAAAAAATTATAATTATTAATATCGAAAAAGACTTAAATAGATTAATAAAAATAAATAAACTATTATTTGTTTTTATTAATAAACAATATTTACTTGAATTAATAAGTATTATGAATTATTTTTTGTTAATTTTTATATTATATTTTTTTTTAAAAAAAAAAGGTATGACGATAAGATTATTTTTTTAATTTTTTAAGTATTTTGATACCAAAAAAAAAGTTGAAGTAATTTTATAATGGCCTTTTTTTTTTACTTAATTTTTTAAAAATTAAAGAAAATATAAAACACTAAATAGTAAAATATGTATAATTTAATTATTAATTTTTGAGATTCTTTTTCTAATAAGTTTGCTTAATTATTAGGAGCTTAAGTTAATATTGTTTTTATTCATTAAATTTAATTCATGATTTTTTTGTGATAATTAAACTAAAATAATGCTGATAATAATATAATTATATATTATTTAACTGAAGTTTTTGTAATTTATTTTATTTCTATTTTATAATCTATTTAAAATAGAACTGATTAATATTTTATTAACATTTTTTAAAATAAAAATATTATTAAAATTGAATTATTAGAATTCGATTAAATGAAATCACTGGAGATTTTAGTTTATTTTTAAATTATTATATATTTGATTATTATTTTGTAATAAGTTCTTTAATTTATCTATTTGTATAATGTAATAAAAAAAAGCAAACTTATGTATAATAAATATAATTTTTTTAAAAAACAATTTATAATTAAAAAAAAAATGCTTATATATTTAATTATATAAAATAAAATTAATTAAATATTATATTTTTTTATTTTTATTTTAATTAAAAAAAAAAATACACATATACAAATATTGAAATGCGGTAAAACAATAGTAATGATTTTGATAAAATTAAAATAAATTCATTTACAATTCTTATAATAGAAGGTATTTAGGCATTTTTTTATGACCTTTATATTTCTTCACCAAAATATATAGATTATCATGTTGAAGAATGCGAATATTTATGGTGGTGGTCATTTTCAACATTAATGGCTATATTTAGTTCAATTATATTTTGTTGTTTAAATATTATTGCTGCATATTTTAAAAGGGAAAAACTTGTTAAGTTTTTATCTATGATGACAGGATTTTGTTAATTGGCAATTTTAGTTACTTTTTGTGGAAATTGGTTTTATTTAGATTAATAATGTGGTTAATTATATAAATTAAATAGAATTTTTTTCATAATTATGGTTTCTATTATAAGTATTGCTATTATGTTATCACTTATTAAATTTATAAGCAGTAAATTTAGAAGATGAATTTTTTTGAGATTTTATTTAATTTTTTTTTTTTTTTTTTTTAAAAAAAAAAAATTAAAATTAAATTTTAAACAATAATTTTTATAAAATAAATTATAATAAAATTTCTTGTAAATTAATTATAAAAATTAATGTCTTTTATTTTATTTTTATTTTTTTCGAGGGGGTTGGCTTTTTGATTTTAAGGTAATTTTTTATAAATAAAAATATTAAAAGCAATATACTTTGCTATTATAATTTATTTTTTATATATGGACTTTATTAATTATTTATAATTTAAACTTTTATATATTATTTAATCATTTTTTATTAATTTTAGTATTTATATTGCATTTATATGTTGCTTTATTTAATTAAACTTTATTTTTCTATTTTTAATCTTTGAAAGCAGAATTTTTCATTTGATCTTCTTCCTTTAACTTATTTTAAATGTTCTATAAATAGGTATAATTAAACTTTTTAATAAATAATAAAATTTAAAAAATATAATACTATAAAAATATTACTTAATTTTAATCTAAATAAGTGTAGTTTCTAATTTATTATAAATTATTTTCCGAAATATAATTTTTTTATATATCTATCTATTAATAAATATAAATTAAAGTTCTAATATAAATGAAAATTAAAAAATATTTACATTTAATTTATTTACTTATCTTTTATTTTAACTTGAATTTAATTATTCTTTTTTTTTATTTTATCTTTATAGACAATATTCATGTTAAAAGTAGTTTCTTTAATTCTCTTTTTAATTTTAATGTCCGTAATTTTATATTAATTATTTAATTTATTAAATCAAATTATTCTTTTAAAGACTTTATTTTTAACTTTTTTTATTATTTTCATTATTTTCTTAATCTTTTTTAGAACTTATAACAGGAGTATTAAAATCTAATTAAATATTAATTTCTTTTTATGAAAGTTATTATAATTCTTTTTATTAATTTTATTATTATTTATTGTTGTCCAATATATGCATTATTTTTAGGACTTCAAAATCTTTTTTCCAGTAAGATTAATTAAGATTTGGCTTGCTTTCTGCTTATGAAAAATAACTTTAAGATCTATTCAATTGTTATTATATTTATTCGCAATGTTTTTCAACTTATAACATTAAAAATGAACTTTTTCGTGAATTATTACTCTATAGAGATAATGAGTTTCTTTAATTAATATTTTAACTATTTTAATCAGAATCTGTAATATATTCAGTTTTATTTATTTAATATAATTATTATTATTTAATTAATTTATCCTTAACTGGAATTTCTATATTAATTTGTCTTTTTTCATTTTCTTATTTAAGTTTATTATATATACTCTTGATATTATTTTCTAAGAGAGTAATTTCTTATTATAGAGATTAATTCATAGTTTAAGAACGATATTTAAGATAATTTATTTATAAATTTATTTATTCTAAACATTTAAAATCATCATTATTTTTAATTAAAATTTATTGACCATTATTTTAATTTTATAATATTTCTTCTTATGAATGTTAATTTTTAAAAATGATATTATCAATTTATTTTTGAAAATTATGTACATTAATATTATTATTATTATTATTATTCTAATTTATTTATGTTTTATTATCATTATCTTTATTATTTATATTGTTATCAAAGCTTTTTATTTTCTAATTGCTTTATGAATTATTTGTATTATTGGTTGTCTGCTTTATTTTTTCCAAACTTTAATAGTTTTATTAATTAATATTCTTATCATTAATAAATACTTCTTCTTTATTTTAATTTTCAATATTGCTATTAATAAAATTTTAATTTATTTTTATTTCTTATAAAATATCATTATTATTTAATGTTTTTATTAAATTAAATTAATATTATTATATTCTATATTAAAAAATTTAAATATCGTTTTCACAAATAGTTTATTTTACATTACTTTTTTTTGATATTTAATTTTATTATTAACTTTAATTATTTTAAACATTTTTCTTATCTGAATTTAGATATTAAAAGTTATCACTTTTCAATTTTTCATTAGAACTATTCTCATGCTAGTATATTTAATTGATTTCATTTAATTATCGTATTTTATTTGGGCTATTAATAATTGAAAATGTTTCTTTTAATGATGTATTATCATTAATTCTTTATGTATATTAAATTTAACTTTAAGAAAATTTTTAATCAATAATTTTTAGATCTTAAAAACATGGTATTTTTTAATTATTTATCATATTTAAAGAACTTCCACTTTAATATTAATTATTTAAAGAATTTATATTTTAACTTAATTAATAATTGTTAAAAATTTATTTATTTAGTTATTAAAACTAATTCTATTATTTTTAAAGTTAATTATAACTACTTAATCCTTTTTTTAGCTTCTTGAACTTTTTTTTAATAATTTCACTAATATTAAAATTCTCTTATATTCCTTTTGTGCTTTAAATTTCCAAACTAAAATTTTGATTAAATTTATTTCTGCTATTTATAGTTAAGCTTTTTATTTTGTTAATAGGATTAAATACATTTTCTTAATTTATTTCAGGGCATATTCTATAATTATTATTTCTTTAAATTTCTATATTTAAAGTTTAGTTTAGTGTTTATTTAAAGTTTATATTTTTTTATGAATAATTTTGTGGCTTTAATTTAAGACTTAATCCTATATTTTATTTCTAATTCATTTTTTTTATTTATTTAGAAGAATTTTAATTTAGACTATAACTTTATGTATTTATTCTATTTAAAGACTTTTAATTATCAAATTAGAAACTTCTTAAAAACAAAGATTGGGAGTCTTATAAAGATAAATTAATGTTTTACTATGTTTTAAACTTTGCTCTTGTTGATTAATTATAATTTTTAGGTAATTAAGATTATTATTATTATTATTCAAAAAAAATATTTTAGCTCTTTTCTTTGATTTTTTATTCTAATAATTAATTTACTCTTAAATCTTCTTATGAATTATTCTACTAGTATTCTAATTAGTTTTAAAATGTATTATTATTATTAGGGCTTTTATTTAAATTTTATTTTAGTTCTTTTTTTTCTTAAGATACTTAAATATTATTTCTTTTTAAATTATTTTCTTCACAATTTAATTATAAAACTGAATCACTTAAACTTTATCTTGTTTAAAATGTGTTTTATATATTATTTTTATTACTAGAGGAAACTATTTCATCATTATTAGTAAATAATTTTAATACTGCTAAATGATTTATTTATGATAAATTATTATCTTCTTATTATGTTTGTAAATTTTCTGTATCGTTTTCAATATATATTTATTAAATACCTTTTTATGAAAAACTATTATTCATATTTTTTATATTATATGGCTTTAATAAATATATATATATATTTATCTTTTTTATTTGTTATATTTTTAATAGTGTGAAATTTGAATGTTAATAAAAAAAAATTTATTAAAAATTTTTAACTAATTTTTTAATTTAAATGTTTTTTTATATATTAACTGCTTTATTTATTAATGTAAATAATTAATTTATAAAAAAAGAATACAATTATATATATTAATATTTAAGTCTTGGTCAAATGAATAAACCTTACATTATTAAAATTTTATATTTAAAATAATTTATAATACTAAATTTTATTAATATTAATTAATATATTTTATTATAAAATTTAAATCAAATTCTTTATAGTATTTACAATAAATATTAAATATTAATAGTATATAAATTATTTCATTTTTTAATTTATATTTTCATTGACTATAATTACTTACTTTATTAATAAAACTGTTTTAAATAATATTATTATTAATATTAAAAACATTTTGTGTATTTTTATTATTAATATATTATTATTAAGCTGAATTACTCCTATTACTATTATCATAATATGAATTATTTGTAGAAGAAACAGTCCCAGACTTATTTTATATATTTTATTTATCATTTTAAACTTCTCCAAAATTATATCCAGCAAATAAATCTATTTAATAAATTTTTAAAATATATATTAAATAAGTTAGTTTATAATACTTTAAACAGATTTTCTTTTTAATAGAATTTTATTTTATTAAATTAGATCTTCATTTGACTCTCTATCATCTAAGGATATTTACTATCTATAATCGAAATTATCTTCAATAGACTATATTTATTTAATTAAAAAAAGAAATAATAATTATAATAAAATAAATTTAAAAATTGCATATAAATATATTACTATAGGTACAAAAGGTGATTATAATTCTTTATTTAATAATTTTTACCAAAGAAAGTTTTTTAACCATGGATGATTCTTAACTTCTTCAGGTCCATTTATACCAAGTCTTTTAGAAGGTTTTCTTTCAATGAGCTTTGTATATATATATATATATATATATATATATATATATATATATATATATATATATATATATATATATATATATATATATATATTATTATATTTTTTTTTTTAAGTTATCTTATTTCATAATTTTTTAATATAATTTTATTATATTGCCCTTATAATTTTTTTTACTCTTTTATATTTTGTTAAGTATAATTTTTTTAATTAATATATACAAAAAATTCAAAAAGATTTTTTTATATTATATATTTTTTGTAATATTAATAATTATAATATAAAATTACTCTATTAATAAAATCTGCAGCTTCTAAAGACCAGTTATCGGGTATTTCTTATCTTTTAATTTACATTTATTTAGATAATATTTAATCTCTTATTTCTTTTCTACTTCTTCCATAGTATGGTCTTCTTCCTAACATAAATTCATATCCTATTACTCCTACAGCAAAATAATCAACTTCAATTCCATGATTTTATCTACACATAACCTCTGGAGCCATATATCCTGGCGTACCTGATGTATCTTGTGAATTTTCTGCTTTCCATACCCTTGCAATTCCTAAATCTGTAACTCCTACGTAGCCTTATTCATCCAATACTAGATTTTCAGGTTTTATATCTCTATGTATTATATTATTTTAATGTAGATATTCTAAACATAAAACCATACAAGCTATAAAAAATTCTTTTTTTTTTTTTTTAAAAAAAAAAAAAATATTAAAAAAAAAAAAAAAACATAATTTTACTTGTTTATGTTTCTGAAAATCTTCTATGTTTTCCTATATGAAATCTTAAATCTCCTCCTGTTAAAAGATCCATTAATAAATATAAATTATCTTTATCTTAAAATGCTATATTCATATTTACTAAAAATCTATTGTTTAAATTAATTGATTTTATATATTTATTAATTTTATATTACGGAAATTTTAATTAACTTAATAATTATTTTTCATTCATAACTGAACTAATACTTCTTTTGCTAATTATTCTATTTAATTGTTTATTTTATTTTTATAAATTTTTTATTTTACTTTGCTTTTGACATTTCTTTCATTGCATAGATTTTTTTTGTCTTTTTGTGTTCAACTTTCCAAACCTTTTTTTTAACATAAGAAAAAAAAAAACAAAAAATTGAATTTTTTTTATAATAAAATTTACTTTTCCAAAACCTCCTTTTCCAATAACATAATGGAAAATAAAATTATTTTTGGTTACATTTTAAAAGTTATTATCAACTACTTAATTTAATGAATTATTTATTAGTAGTTCTTAAGTATATTCGTTTTATTATATTTATTAAGCAATTTTATTTTAAATTTAATCTTTTGCTTAAAAACTATTAAGGAATACATAATTTAAAAAAGGGGTGTTTTTATACTTTTCTATTAGATATTAATTTTCCTAAAAATAAAATAAAATAAAAATATTTATAAAAATATGCATATTTAAAGTACTTAATATTGTTATCTTTAAGTTATTGGCAATTACTAATTTAATTTAATTTATAAACTATTTTCTCTATATGAAATTGGTATTTATAATTCGTTAGACTTTTAATTTTTAGAGTTACTTCTAATTTTACTAATATTTTAATTATTACAAGGCTGATAATAAGAATTTTGTTATAAATTTATAGAATCTAATTATTTTTACAATTTGAATTAAATAGGCTCTTATTATTTTTTTATTTAAATTAATTTTTACTAGTTTTATTATTATTAAGATATCTAATTTTTATTGTATACGAAACTTTTATTTTTACTATTATAGATATTTTAATTAATTATATTACTATCATTTTTATTTATACTTTTGCTTTTTTCTTTTTATGATAAGTTTTTCTAAGTGTTTTATTATTTAAGAAATACATAGTCTGGGGAATAATTTATTATTTACATTTTTTATTTATAAATACTTTAGTTTTAGTCTAAAGCAATATTTTATTATTATATTTAATATGGCTTTTTTAATAATATTGAATATTAATTATTTTTACTTTTCATGTTATTAATATTTATATAGCTATTACTATTATTGTTATTTTTATTTTCATTTAATATACTATTATTGTTAGATTATATTTTCTTTTTATTTTAGGAAGAGTTTTTTTAATTTATAGATATAAATTAAGGAAATTTTATATTTGATGGCTTAGATTAATTAATATTAACATTTATGTTATTTGGTCTTTATATTTAAATTTAATTATTATCATAATATTTTGAACTATATATATCTTTTAAGTTTTTTTTTACTTACATATTTAATTTATTTTTATTTCTAATAATTATTGTTATTTATTATAGAAATTATTTGTTTTTTTATTTATTATAAAAACAAATAATTTTAATTTAATAAATTTATAATAAATAATGAAAATTAAGTATTTAATAATTTTGGTAATATATTTTAATTTTTTCTTTTATTCAAATTTCATAAATAAAAATAAATAAAAATATATATAATAATAAATAAAAATAAAAATATATATAATTAAAATAAACATATATGAATAAATATACATATATATATATAAATAAATAAATATTTATTTAATATAAAAGATAAATATAAATATATTTTTATATATATATTCAATTTAAATTTAAATATATAATAATAGAAAATCTTATATAAAATTAATTTTTATATATTTTATTTTATTTTAATAATATATATTAAATAAATAATTATATTTAAACTTTTAATTATTTTTATTTATAGTTTTATTTTTTTATTTACATAAATATTTTAAATTTTATTTAAAATATAAATTATATTTTATATTAATATAAAAATAAAAATAAAAAGAAAAACGATAATTAAATAAATATTTTATTTTAAATAAACAAATAAACAATATTTCTTTTTTTATCATTTTAGTAATATAATTTTTAAAAATATTTTTTATCATTAAGTAATTCTTTTTATGATAATATTTTATTATTTCAATTTTTTAAAATAGTATTAATTCAAATTTTTTAACTAATATAAGATATAATAATTATTTAATAAATTAGGAAAATATCCTTAAATGATAAATTAACAAAAATATAAATGATCATAAATTAATAAAAACCTCAACATCATACAATACAAATTTGAAAATTTTTAAATTAAAAATACATATTATTAATTTGTCTTTCTAATGAAAACACTTTTAATAAAAGATTTCTACAATTATAAAATTTTTAACTTATAGGGTTTATATTTGGTTAAAATAAACTTTAATTTACACAAAAAATAACTAAAAACAATATTATTAAAATAAGAAATGAAAAAATGTATTTTTAAATCTTATTTTTAATATAAACAATACATAATATTATTTTCAAACATTTAAATAATAATTATATTGTTAAATGAAGTAAAAATATATTTTTTCATAAATAAGTTAAATATAATAGTTGTTCTTATAGAGAAATAAATAATAGACTTAAAATATAATATTTTAAATAATTAGATTTTAATTAAAACAATATTAATATAGAAATATAGAATTAATATAAATTTAATTTATAATAAATTATTTTTTAAATCTTTTAATATTTATTTTTTATTTATATTAAAATTAATAATGTTGAACAATTATTTTTGATAACCATTTTATATTAAAATAATTAATCTTAAATAATAAGAATAAAATAATAAATATATTAATTTAAATTGCAATCTAAATAAAAATTACTCTATAATGACCCAAATAAAATAATAATAATATAATTTTTTAATTTTCTTTATAAATATATTAAATCATCTAAATGTTTAATCAAATTTATTTTTAATTATATGATAATTTTCGCTATCTTTTCCTTCAGTTTCTTCAATTAAAATTAAAGCAAAGTTCATATAAGAATAACTTTTGTCTAAATTTTAAAGATTTAAATAATGTAAAGATAAGCAATATAAAACAAGAGGAGGTGGCATAAATGTAATTGGAATTTTCTAAGAATTATCGGCTAAAAACTCAGCATCTAAGAATTTATTATCTTCAATAAATTAGCCAAGTTCATTATTTTTATGTTCTTTCATTAAAGTTTATATATAGAAAAATATACTCTAGTATCCTGTATCTAATTATTCCTCATCCAAAAGAGTGTTATCTTATAAACTTTATTTAATCATTTAACAAATATTTTTTAAATATTCGGTACATCTATAATATTTATCAAACAAAATTAATGAATGTACACAATTACAATTAATTTGAAATAATTAAACATTATCTAACCTATTTTTTAAATATTCATAGTCTTATTTTATAAATTAGAATTCGCTTTCAGCCGAAGATATATCTCCTTCTTTCAATTTACTATATAAAATACACATACGACCATAAAGTTCTATTATTTAAATAGATAATTTATTTTCTTTGTTTTTTCGGTTTTTTAGTATATTCGAACATTAAAGTACCTAATTTACTATTTTCGTCGGAATCTCCAGTTTCTATTATTTATCTATATATATTAAAACAGGATTTTTCGACTATTTTTATGTTGTTAAATTCCATGTCCATTTTTAATTACATAATTAATTTTTGCTATTAATCTATATTTATATTTTGTAAATTATTTGGACAAAAATTGTATTTAAATAATTTTGGGAATGTGCTTTATTTAAAGAGTTTAATTATTTTAATCATGTTTTTACTTATTTTTGTAAATATATTTAAATTTGTTTTTTATCATATATATATCTTTTATTATAATTAATTATTTTAATATATTTTATATAATCTTTTTATATTTTACAATACAAATATTTAAAAATTAATTTTTTTTAAATATTAATAATATATTTAATTAAATTTATTTAGATTTATTAATTATTATTATTTGTTGATTATATTTCTTAATTAATTAATTTAAATATAAAAATTTCTATATGAATTTAACAAGTAATTTAATAAATATATTTTTTTTTATCTATAATAAGTTACATAAATTATTTTATAATTTATATATTATTAATTAAATAAATGGTTTTTTATATTACATATAAAAGAATTATTGCTTATTTAAAATTAAAAATAACATTTTTTAAATATTATTTACACTATTAATATTATAATTTAAAATATGAAATCTTTTATATATTTATTTTTATAAAATATAAAATAATATATTTATTTTTGTTTAATTTAATACATTATTTTTTTATATTTTTATTTCGTAAAAAAAAAAATATAAAAAAATAAAAAATATAACTTTTTTAAATTTATTTAATTATTATGGGTTGTTGCCAAAGTGAAACTAAATCAAATGATATTTAATCAAATAACATTGATGATAAAATCAAATTATCTAAATTTTAAAAAGGAGAATAGCTTGACATTTCTCATTTAAATAATTCTAATGATAAAGACAAAATAGTTAAAATTTAGGCAACTATAAGAGGAAATTAAGCAAGAAAAGAAATTGAAAATAAAAAAAGAAAAATTAAGTATGATATATAATACTATTAAAAATTATATAAATATACTAATATTATAATTTGTCTAATGAAATATATATATTTTTTAATATAAATTAAAAAACAATAGTATTATTTTTTATATATTTTTTTTTAACATTTGCTATAACTACTTAAATAGATCATATAATAATATATATATATATAATTAAAATTTACATTGAAAGATATAAAATAACAATTATAATTAAAAATATATTTTATTTTTTAAATATTATTATAACATAAGCTTTTCTTAATATAAACTAAATATTTATTAATTCGTTATTTTTTTTTTTTTATCATATATAAATAATTTCATTATTTTTATTAATGAAATTAATTTTATTTTTAAAAAATAAACTTCAGATAAAAGTTTTTTATATATAAAGAGTTAAATAAAATGGATTTGTATATCACATTATAATTGTTTAAATAGTTATTTAAGATAATTTTAAAATCAATTAATTTTATTAATTTATTTTTATTATTAATAATATTAGATATATTATATATATTTATACAAGTTTAAATTATTTTTGTTTAAAAATATTTTAGTTTATCAAATATTAATATACTTTAGATTTATTTTATATTTAATAAATTGGTCAATATTTAAATATTAGTAAGTTAAATTTAATAAATATATGTATTTATTTTTATTTTTTTCATCTTTATTCTTAAAACATTGATATTTAATAAGTTATATATATATTAATATATGGTTTTCTTTAATTATATTCCTAAATTACTTATCTAAACTATTTTAAAGCACAATCTTTGCTATGGTGAACTTTATTTAATATAAAAAACTAAAATTGTTTGCTATTTATTAGTACTTATAATTTATTATCATTTGTGAATTAATTGAGTCATAATTATTTTTTACTTCGATATATATATATAATATAAATATATATATTGTATTTCATATTCATAATTTTAATTATTTATTGATATTTCTTATAAATAAGTTTTAATGATTATTTCTA